CAGTAATCTAGCTAGATAGGGAAGACGACGATACACGTGGGGAAAGCAAAGGAGTAAAAGAAGGAATCTGGGCTTACCTCCATGGTTGTTCAGTGGTAGTGTAGCGTCTTTGCGTTGCGCACGGTGGTGATAGTCTTTAGGCCCGAGCCTGCCACTGCCCCAGAACCGCTGTCCTTGCTGATGAGCCGACGCCCAACCCGAATCACGCCTTCAGCCAAACGCTCGGGAGTACTATAACTCTTCCAGGAATGCTTGGTTGCCCTCTGACAGGATGGCCGCCCTGCAATTTCACTTCTCGCAACCACTCTCTGTTGGCAGCCAGCAGCCAGCAGCCGAAGAAGCCGGGTCGGCAAGGATGGCTCTCCGCGCGCGCCCAGTCGTCGGGCACGAGAGCGTCACTGCAACACGTTTCGAGGCCGGGTCGGAGACAAGTCAGTGCTGCTGATAAATAGCCGCAGTGGCACGACGCTGAAGCATCTGGAACCGTCGTAGAAGACGGAGAGTGTCATTGTGAGGAGGCGGTTGGTCGCGTGCAGGCCACGTTCGCTTACGGTAACAAGGGAAGATCTTCAGGCACCGCCATTCTGTCCTCGTCCCAGCTCTCCAACACCAGCCCAACTTCGATGAAGAGCAAACGCCCTGGTATTTTGTGGCTTGGGACAGTTACCCGATTAGTGTTGTGCCGAAGTCAACCTCCGTCAGCCCAACCTTACCTGAGTCAAGCTGACGATATCACCGCCGCATGGCGGACAAGGATTTGTTATCCGCGGCAGCAAGGTTACACAGCGTAGCAGAAACTATTTCCGAACGTCATTGATACAGCGCTGTGTGCCCCTTTACTGTCAGATGGACGCCGCACACGTGTATGAGTCCAGTCAGTAGGACATGTCAACGTGCGCGTTACCGTCACTCTGCTCGTCAACTTGATCACTTCGCGCAACATGTACATTGTATCCCTGCAAACACTGTATTCCACAAAAGCAATATCAAAACAACCCGACGCTCCGGCGCACCCGGGGTATCCAAAATCAAAAGCCAAAGTCGCTACTCCCATCCATCCTTGTTCCCGGACACCAAAGGCCCTGTACGCCTACCCTAAACAGCTCATAGATTGCGTACTCTTCAGGTTTCTAAATAAGAAAATAATTCCCGTTCGTTACTCGGGCGATCTGAAGTACAGTGCACTCAACCGCCTCAGTCTCGCGGTCCCGTCACCTCGGCACCCAGCGTAGCCGCAGCTAATTGACCCAGTCCACCGAAGAAGACAAGAAACATGGCTAGTGCAGTCGACTCTCCCGCGTGAACTAGATCGCCCTCAGGCGCGGAGCCGTCTGACTCCATTCCCTGTATAGCGCGCTTGGTCTGCTCTGTTGGTTGGTATGTAGCATCAGGGTCACCAGCAAATGAGCCTGCGTCAGAATCCACATCTGAAGTGCGCGCTTTCCCTCGCGTGCTGCGTCTGAGAGACGCACTCGTGGCTGCGGAAGTGGATGTACCATTTACGTCAGCCTTCTTTGCCGGGCGCCCAGGCTTCCTCGGCGTAACAGGCTCTGTTGGCGACGAGGGCTCGCTCGCATGCTCCATCACTCTTGCCAGGTCTTGCTTGAATGTGACGTGTTTCTCATGGGTGGGAACGAGAAAAGAAAGTATGCTGCTTTCTAGGATCGCATGCACATCTAGATCGCGCGTGAAAGTCCACGTCAGCAAGCTGATGGCAGCAAAGAGGACGTCGAGGCTGGTGACACTGATAGCCGGGTGCATGCTGATGTGCTTGAGAGCTTGGCCCGCGTTGCTGATACTTGCGAGAAGTCTGTTTGCATTCGCCGAATCGCTCTTGGCAATAGAATTCGCGAAGAGATCCCAAACGCGGGAGCGCTGGGCAGGTCTGTTGACGTACACCAGAGTAGTCCACACACGCCAGTATACGAGGATAGAGGCGATTGATAGCGCGTGGAAGACTTTGACGTATGATCTATGAGCCGCTGCTTTGGACGTATGCTGATGACCCAGTGCGTAGGGAACCAGCTGTGGCGCGAATGCAAAGGCAAGTGGCATGGCGAGGTATCCGAGTCGCATCATGCTCTTGTCGCCGAACTCGGAGACTAGTTGTGGAAAGAGATTCAGAGTAATGAGCGACGCAACGATGCCAGTGTCGTATACGAAAGCATATGGTGTGAATAGCGCGTCGTGTAGCGGGGTATCATCGTGGTGTATGGTCAAAGGCGTGTACAAGATGGTGATGAAGAACAAACTCAAAGAGTACCCTAAGCTTCCAATGGAGCTCAGCAGCACGAAAGACGCAATCGTTGTGTTGGAAAGATTGCGCCTGCGGCCTAAAGAAGACCAGTCAGTGAGGGACTTGGACAACCTGCGTCGATCGCGTTGCACATACCTTCAGCGCCCATGAAAATGGAGCTTGCGATCAGTCCGACGAAATACTGGCTCGTATACAGAAACCCCTCCGGCTTCATTATTCCAACTTTGTCAAACTCGCGCACGAGATCTATGTCCGCGATCCAGTCGGCTAGATACCATCTCCCTTCCTCGCCAGTGCCATACCAGCCACTCCAGAGACTACCCGGAATGTCATGTGTATTCTCTCCGGCCCACCGCACGTAGGAGATAGCGCGCCAGAGGAAGGCAAAGCTGCCGACGGAGAGTAGTGAGAGGAGCGCAATGATGGAGAAGGTGACGGCATGGCGGCGGCGAGCAGAGTCTTGTGAGCGCGTGCGCGTTGATGGTGGCTGAGATTTGGCGGCGCGCCGAGTAGTGAGAAGGACACGAGCTGTGAGGACTGTAACGAGGAGCACTTGGCCGCCAAAGAGAGCGATGGGGAGTGAGTTACTCCGCGTAGATGCGACTGTATCGACTGGCGCCATGATGTTGGCTGGCTGATGCGATCAGTGATAGAGTCAGATGCGCATTACGCGACAGCGACGGTGAGGTTAGGAGACAGAAGCAAGCCAGCCCAGCTGGAGGCATGGCTCGCTTGTTTTGATCTGGAACGCGCCTGCCTCCCCGCCCACGTCACTGACGTATGAACAATCCAGATGTCTGGAGCTCGCCCTTGCGCCACGCTAGACCCCATTGGCCTTGGCCGTCGATCTGGCGCATCTTCGTTTTGGCTTGCGCGACGCGATCCCAGGCCTCCGACTCAATACCCACTTTACCATGCCACACACTTATGGCGACGACGACCTCGAGAACGTCGACGAGAAGTACCACGAGTCGTCCGACGAGGACTTCAACCCCGAAGCCGCGCCTCCCGAAGAGGCATCCAGTTCCGAAGACGAAGACCATGTCACGATAGAACCCACACAGCGCACGGGCAAGCGGAAAGCGCCTGCCGATGAAGACCTTGATTCTGGAGACGAAGTGACAATACAAGCTGCGCGGAAGAAGCGGGCGAAGAAGAAGGGGAAGAAAGGCGGCAACGATGATGGAGACGAGCTGATCATATCAGATGATGAAGGCGGGGAGGGCGGACTTGTCAAAACGCGGGCGCAACGGAGGATTGAAGGAAAGGAACGGAGACCGCTTGCAAGGACCGAGGGCGCAACTGTAGATGTCGATGCGCTATGGGCCCAAATGACAGCGGCGCCTCTGAAGCCTTTGGATTCCACAGCATCACATGAAACAGCTGCACAACAAAATCACGTACCCGTAGCCAGCATCCCAGTATCAGTGGAAGAGGAAGAACAGCTCACGATCAAGAAAGTCTTCACCTTCGCTGGGCAGGACACGACCGAGGAGAAGCAAGTTCCACGTTCGCAGCTCGACAAATACCTCAAAGATGGGTGGAAGACACTCGATGCGTCCGCAGCAACAATACCCACAACAGAATCCCCAAAAGATCCCTCCGAGTCTAGTGGACCCAAGATCCGTCGTCCCCTCCGCCGTCCATCCCGATTCGACCCCAACCCTACAGGCTACGTCCGCGCCCTCGCACCCGAACACCAACTTTTCTGGCCCCGTGCCGCCGCTGCCGATCTACAACGCGAGCAGGAAATTCCGCCAGAAACAGACATCTCGGTCGCGAAGAAGGTCGAGAAGGCGCAGAAGCTCAATGTGGTGGACAAATCGCGCATGGACTGGACAGGTTTCGTGGACAAAGAGGGCATCGCAGAGGAATTGGATACACATGGAAAGACCAAGGAAGCCTATCTGGGTCGTATGGAGTTCTTGGCTGGTGTGGAAGCGCGGAGAGAAGAAGAGAGGAGGAATCTGAAGATCAAGGCTGCAGCTGCTGCGCCTACGGTGGGGTGAACCGTGTGCTAAAGATGTACTGGAGAGCCGCGGATGTTTTTAAAGATGATTGATGTTTTTAAAGATGATTGATGTTTTTAAAGATACCCAATTATTGCTCAAAGGCGACAAGCGCTGGTTGATGCGTGCGCTTCTGCATATTCATCACGTATAGATCTATATCATTCAGGGCTATGCATATGACGATTGAGTAGAAGAGTACAAAAAGCACCGATTTGAGAGCAAGGAGCGAAATCACAATAAATTACCTTGGAGCTACGATCATTCGAAGAGACAAACGAGTGACATGGAGCAGACCCCTAATTATACCTCCACTTCCATTTTCTAACCCCCTCTATACATCTCTTCAGACTCTCAACCGAAATGTCTTCATTTTCCTTCCTTCTTCGTCCTCCTCCTAATACTACGTTTGTGCCCCCATCTAAAAAGATGTGGCTATGAATGGCTCAGTGAGACTCTTGGACTGACTCCAGAGACGTTAATTTGTACATGGTATTGCAACGGCAGCCATGGATGGCGCAGTGATGTTTCGAGTACCCAATGAGTAAATACAGTGGATCGAACACTGGTGGAAAGATCAAGACCCTGTGGAAATGATTGTATAAGCGCTCCTGAGCACCCAAATAACTGTAATGATCCTGCGCGAATAATGTGTGTATGATGCCAAAGTGAGAGGTAGCCGATACGTGAAAGCGTCGTAAGATGAACACCGTTTCCGTACGAATTGGAGGTAACTACAAGGTGAGCTCCTCGAGCGCGGTCTGAAAGTCGTCTTCTTCTTCCTCTTCGTACTGGACCTGTGCCTTGATTGGTTTCGGCTTCATGTTCATGCGTATGGACGAGACTATAGCTCTGGATTTCTCAGAGCTGTTTGCCTTGAGACTCGCAAGCTCTCGTCCTGCCATTTTCAGAACGAAACTGGATTTCTCCGGCCTCTTGAACTGTGCATATAACGCTGATGCCTTGATGGTGTCCCACATGCATGAACCGGGCGTAAGGTAATCATCAAGCAGAGGCTGGATATCGGTGTCGCCCGGGTTTTCGGGCTGGACAGCCTGGAACTTCTGATAGCAATTGTTTACAACAGTATTAAGCCGCTCCGTCGTGCTCACATCCCCATGCCAGCCGGCATTCCAAGTACAATTGACGTCGTCCAGCTTTCTTGTCAGAGAGAGGATTTCTTGCTTGATAGTTTCCGATCCCTTTTTGGCGAGGTGATCGATTGGATACAAAAGCGCGTCGTCTGGCTCAATAGCTTCCGAGAGAATGGATTTGACTTGACGCATTGTCTCGATATTGTGTGCTCTTACAATGTCGAAGTAGAGATAGTCGATGATGTGGTTGGATCGGACTCGCCGATCTGCTTTGCGGATTTTCTCAACACCTGCTGAGTCCCCCTTGCTGGCGCATTTTTTCATCTCTTCCTTATAACGCGGCTGTCTTGGTTTCAATCGGGCCACGTATTTATCAAACTTTGTCTGCGTAAATACATAACCCTGTTTGGACGCATCGACTAGCAAATCGTGCATATCGTACAGTTGTTCAAGTACCCGGGAATGAATGCGGTTTTCGGTGTATGCTTGTTTCTCTGCGAAAGTGGTGACTAGACCAAGCAGCGATGAGTTGTTACGAAACTCGAAAGCTCTACTGAGGAAGTTGTCCACCTCTTCAGGTTCGCTGGTGTTCATGATATCTTCGAGCTTCTCGGTCCGTGTCTCTATGCCGTATTTTGCAGGCTTGGGGGTAGTCATTGGCGCTGGAGCATTCAGAAAAGGGCGCACAAGTTTAGGTTCCCAACAAACCCAGAACATATCACCATCGTAATCGCCTCCTTGCAGCTTCCCAGCTAGTGGGAATCGGCCTTTGCAAGGAAAAACCACCACGTCGACCAGATGCGACAGTTCAGGTCGTATGACCGTGCGGACTTTTTGAATGTCCGAGCGGCGACAAGCAGGCTGACGAGTGACGAGAGCTTCCATGTCCCTAAGGCAGAGGTACTTTTCATCCGTATCCTCGTCGATAAATGAGGATGAGAACTGTACTTGAATCTCTCCTGGTTTCAAGACTCCAAAAGGATCTGCTATTCCATAAAAATACGCGGACTTTGCGAGAGGCACACGTAGCTTGGATTCCTGGAAGACATGCTTTGTCTGGATAAAGCGTTCGAGACTCCTGGCAAGGTAGGGAAACTTGGTAGGTACGAAGCCCACCTCGAGCAAGAACTTCAACTTTTCCTCTAAGGATACCGGCAGTGCAGCTTGCCAGTCAGGTTCAGCCTGAGTCTTCGCACCGTTCTGATGAACCCATTCGTAGACCTTGACTGGATCTGGTAGTAAATGTAGCAGCTTCTCGCGTTCGCTTTCGAGTCGCTCTTCCATGAGACTAGCAATAACTTCTCTCTTCACGCCCCGATCGACCAGAATGGGTATATACAATATATGCAATTCCGACTGTGAAGGCGGAGAACTGAAGTTGGACACTTCAAAGGTTCGATGATGGTGCATTGAATCGTCGGCGGGTGGATGAAACTTCCACTGACTCCTATTGATCTTGATCCAGTGCTTAAGATGCTCCGGATTTTTGGTGTAGGATTCCGCGCTAATCATCCAAAGTCCCTTGGCTCCGCCAATGCGTCCCTGGAACGTACTGGGTAAAGGTCCCTTCATCCCGGTTGTTTTCTTGTATAGCTGCCATATGGCTAATGCAGCGCCAACGGAGATGACTGAGCATCCATCGTTCATGACCGTGCCACCCGGAATTGCTTGCCACTCTAAGTTCGAGTCATTGTACAGAGTGTCCTCCGGATCATTTGTGGCCAATTCGTCATCCACGTGGATGATTTGTGACGTTTCAAAGCACAAGGTAGGGGTGGTTCGAGAAAGCCCCAATTCAATTCGAGCAAAGGCTTTGCAGAAACCTTGGTGTCTGTTGATGTAGAATGGTAGGAATCGATCGAGCATTTGACCCACTGAATAGGGTTGCTCAATTCCACATCCTTCGGTGGCGAACAGCACGATCCTTTTGTCATAGACCATGTCCTTGGGTCGAGCGGTTTTGGGCTTCTTCACATCTTCAACATGGAAGACTCTCCATTTGCGGTTCAAGAAGTGGTGTTCTGCGAGTAGCCATGCTTGAAATTGACTGCGAATTTGTTGAAGCCGCTCACCCGTGAAACGATTTGTTTCGGAGAAGTCGAAGACTGGCGTGTATAAGTAGAGAAAGCGGTCGGAGCCAAACATTCGCTCCAGTCGGCATGATCGATCCGATTGTACCGGTAACAATGTAAGGTTTAGAATCGGGCCAGTGCGTTTGGGGCTGAGATTGATGTGTCCTCTGAAAGTGAACCCATCAAAATCACGTTTGGCAGCTTGCCAGAGACGGCTTGACTCCCGCAGCTTCACACGCGGTATTTTCCGATGTTTGTTAATGAAAGACCAAAACGCCTCTGCATCGGAAGATACAGTAGAGATATCCATGCCGCTTACCAAGTCCAAGATTGAGATTGAGTGGTCTATCGCTAGACGTTCGCATATGAACAAGATATGGTACGGGATGTGTTCTAGCCCTGTTGGGAGCGCGTCTACGAAGAGATTTTGGGTAGGTAGATCGCGAATCTCGTGCGGTATCTTCGAGGGAGATTGCACAGTAGCCGGCGATTTCTCTTGACCGTTTGGAACTCCGTTAGATGGGACCCGTGGCGGCGATGATGCACGAGATTGCCCACGGCGATCGTCAACAACGGCGGATGGTCTGGAACTTTCCATCTTGTCATGTGGAATTGCTCGCGGGTCAGTCTCCTTCTCTTCAACCTCGAAAGATGCTTCAAGAAGGCCAGTCTCATCAACAGAGCCATAAGTAGATCTGTTCTGACCGCTACTCCCTTGAGACAAGTGTTCGTTCAGGTTATGCTGTATATCCTTCTCACACACTTCGCTCCCAGGATGCAACATAGCTTGGTCGAGCTCCAAATCATCCAGAGAACCGATTGTAGTCGAACTCGTCCTTTTCAATTGGGGCCTAGAGGACCTGTTTTCCCGTAATTCGATGGCGCCATCGTACGAGGTGAATGAAGTGTTTGTCGTATTTGCTGTCTCTTGGGAGGAGAATGTGGTGTTGTTGAAGGAGGTGTTGACCGAAGATGAAACGGAATTTACAGTATGGAAAGAGCGAGCCATCTCAAGCGTTGGCTTCTTGAAGTCAAACTGCGGTGGCGGAATAGGCGAAGAATCGAAGGTTTTGACAGCCTGTTTCCCTTTCGAGGTTTTGGTCAACTTCTGTGAGTTCTCGGAATGATTGGAGCTTTCAGATGGCCTTTTCTTAGAGATATGTAAAGAGGCATGGTTACTTGCCTGAAAGAGCGTCCGTGCTGACCTAGTGGATGGCGAGGGTGATGGTGACGGCGACCGGGACGGTGATCGCGGTGTTTCGAATTTTTGATCCGTCTCATCGTCGGTGTCAACGTCTGTAGGGGATCCTGGATCAGCAGTAGCATAAGACTCATGTTCGCCGTGTTGAACGTCATGTGAAATAGTTGTTGCTTGCGAGGTAGGCTTGACTCCTGTCTTTGTATTAGCTATTGCAAGGTCATTCTCCCATTCCAGTCCCGATTAGCTACAGTCTGACTGAGGTAATATCTATGCAAACAACATGCGTTCGTTGATATGCACTAAGAATGGCAGCTGACATGATGACGGAATAGCTTCATGCTGACAGTCCGACCCACAAAGCAATTACAAGCCGAAGAAGGCATAGCGTGGACCATCTCTATCACAGAGTCTGCAAGACATATGGGTTCTCCGAGGCCCTATCAAGCACGGATATAGTCTACCGGCATGGAAGAAATGTACGTGCTAACTCTGGAGGGAACTTAAAAAGCAAGTTTGTACTCACCACTAAAGGGTGTCGCCCGCACTTTAGGCGGCTCATTCCTTGGCGTCCTGCCCTTCGACTCTAATTCACCCTTTTTTACACGGGAGAGAATCTCACGAAGCCTGTCCAAGCGCTCCTCACGTGACAGACCAGGGGCTTTCCCCTTGAACTGTTCGAGCGCCTCTTCGAGCGCCGTTGGTGCGCTGTAGAAGAGGAATTTGATGAGCGCATGGACCTTGTCGGCCGCATCGTCCGGGATGGCTTTTTTTGGCGACCATCCATCACCACGAAGCCTGAGACCGATGTTCCATTGTCTTTCCAGCGAGCAAATCAGCTCATTGAGGGCTGCTCCAGAGCGGTGGTGCGGAGTTGCCGGTAGCGAAACGGCGGGACCACCGTTACCCGTCATGACGCGGGGCAACAGTGTTCCTTCGTACCTTGGACTTCATGCGACAGGGAAATTGGCAGGATCGCGGCGACAAAGAAGGAGAATGAATGGGTTCAGGACGTAAAGATATAGCGGGTTGAGTCGCGGAAGGCTGAGGATTGCTGAATGTGTGCCTGAGGCTGCTGTTGCTAGGTGATGAAACCTATGGTCTGTGCACGTACGCGGTATCGCGTGGTCACGCGATGAGATGTTTCACCAAGCGCTGATTTAGGCGGAATTTTAAGTGCCAGCCGTGGATATGGTCCGATATTGATTCTGACATCGCCGCGAGAATTGAATGATACTCAACATTTCAGCATTTATAGTCGCCTCCACCAAGCCTCATAACACGTGTTAAAGTTATTGCGGACGTGGCAGGTTGTCGCATGGGCAGAGAATAATATGCTGTATCGTGTACGGCTCCTTAAGATCGTCTAGATTTGTGCCATTCCGCTTTTCGCACTATGGCGGATATTTCCCAAACATGCAATAGGTAATCGTGAATTCAATGAACCGTGAACCAAGCCTCGTCTTTCCCATAATCAAGTCCTCTTGGACTTAGACCTTCATCTCCTCGAGACCGTGCTTCCAGACGGTAACGTAAGGTGTGACACCGTCCTCGCGGTAGTTGAGGAGGACGATCATACCGTCGGGGTTCATGGACTCGCCAGTGTAGAACTCGTAGTCCTTGAAGTTGCCGATGATCTTCTTGGCGAAACCGGAGGCCTTGCTCTCAAAGTCCTTGATCGTAGCCTCGTCGGCGCCCTTGCTCTTGAGGGCCTCCTTGACTGACTTCATGTAACCTGTCTATCGTTAGTCCTGGGTCTGGAAGATTTTGCCCTAGCGTTCTTACCCTTGAGGTATGTGAGGTAGCCCTTCTTGTCGAAGCCGGTCTCGTTCAGGCGGAAAGAGTAGACGACGTCGATCTTGGTCTCCTTCTGGTCGTCGGCTCCCTCCTCTTGCTCCTCAGCGGAAGCATTGGCACCGGTGTCTACACGTCGTTAGTCTGCCAGGTCTTCATCTCGCATGGCGGTACCCACCGAATGATTCTCCTCCGACAGTGATCTTGGTGCAGTCGGCCTCGTAGGCAACGCCGTCGATCTCCTTGAGGTTGTAGGAGTCGGAGATGATCTCGTCACCGGTGATGATGTCCTGGAAGAAGTCAGTACTACGCGACTAGTGGAGAAGACAAAAGGCTCTTTGCATGCGCAAAGCAGCATCAAGTGCAGCAGGGAAGGCGGGGTAGGGCGCAGGTAAGAGCGACCCAGCGCAGGCACAACGTACCTTGAAAATGATCATGTTGGCGGTAGAGGGAAGTAGGGTCTGGGGATGTGTAGAAAGAGTGTACGTTGGTCGGGGCGGGCAGGCGAGGGGTTGAAGACTGGAGCGGAAAAGAAGCGCTGGCCTGTAGGCGTGAAGGAGAAATTGGTGGGGTCGAAAATTGGGTGTGAAAAGCGCGCTAACCGCAACGGGTGGAAGTGCAAGTGGCTGAGCGACTAGGCCCGCCCGGGCGCCCGGCGGCGAAATGTCATGATGCGCGCGTACATCGTAAACCCCCGTCATGCCTTGGTGCTGTCACAGGCACGCTGCTGCACCACTCTCACACGACTTTCACCCAACCCTTGCTCCGCCCACCTCAGCCTCTCCTTTCTGAGCTCGACTGGTCAATTGCGCGCCATCCACCCTCCAGCACGAATACCGACATCACTCGTCCGTCGCATCGCGCCTTCTCCCTAATTTCCTTGGTCCGCGGCTTCCGGCTCCGTCTTTGTCACCCCATAGCTGGCCCAGCACCGCGATCTCGCCTCGAGTACGCTGCACCTTCGACGTCTTCGCCTGCTGCGCTGCGCAACCCCCAGTCTCGCATACATACAGTTGTAATCGATAATCCGCTCACCTAGCGCACCGCTGCCGCACCATGGCGAGCGCAAACATCACGTCCTACGACCTCCCGCCGCTTCCCGAATACACCCTCGAGCCCCTTCAGCCCCTCACGTCGTGGGTCTCCGATGCATTCATACAAGCCGCACTGCCTGTCGTCGGATACTGGGTTGTCTCTCTGGTTTTCCACGTCATTGACGTGTACGACTTCTTCCCGCAGTATCGGCTGCACACGCCAGCAGAGGTTCTGAAGCGCAACCATGTTTCACGCTACGAAGTGCTGCGCGATGTCATACTCCAGCAAGTCATCCAGATACTCGCATCCTTCAGCCTCTCTTTAATCGACGAGGCGCCGACAACCGGCAAAGCCGAGTATGATGTGGCTTGGTACGCGCAGAAGCTCAGACTTGCCCAGCGCGCGGTTCCTTATGTCTTATCCGCGGTAGGCGTCAACCCGATCGCGCTGGCTTCCAAGGTCGCTACCTCGCAACCGATACTTTCTTCCGTTGTCATCGGAGGCAAATACCCCGCGCTGCTGCAGACGGCGACAGTTGCGGGCGAGCAGACTCTTGTCCCCGCCTTCGCTTCTTGGGAGATGACCGTGGCTAGCTTTGCGTACTGGTATGCCATACCTGCCATCCAATTCAGTGCTGCCATAGTCATCATGGACGCGTGGGAGTACATGCTGCACCGTGCCATGCACCTGAACAGATGGTTATATGGTAAGTTCCAACCCGGGTCATGCTCTTCGACTTTTGTTAACCCACGCAGTAACGTTCCATTCGCGGCATCACCGTCTCTATGTGCCATATGCCTACGGCGCTCTGTACAACCACCCGATCGAAGGGTTCGCGCTCGATACCCTGGGTGCTGGCTTGAGCTATCTGCTCACCGGCATGACAATGCGACAGTCGATGTGGTTCTTCACTGGCTCTACCATCAAGACAGTGCTTGATCACGGCGGTTACGCATTCCCCTACGACCCTATCCACTGGATCTTCCCCAACAATGCCGCTTACCACGACATTCATCACCAGAGCTGGGGTATCAAGACCAACTTTTCGCAACCCTTCTTCGTATACCTCGACCGACTTGGCGGGACAATGTACAAAGGCGATGTGACTGCCAAATACGAACGTGCTCGTCTTACAGCACAGCAGAAGGTCGACCAAGAAAAAGAGAATGAAGCTACCGCAGTACCCATGTCGACTGCGGCAGCCTCGGGCCTGACACAGGACGAGGGTGTAGTGCCACAAGGCGCATCGACACCTCGCATCTCGCGCAAGAAGGCTAGCAGCATCTCATCAACGGCTGGCACAAATTTCAAAGATCTGACGAACAAGGTCAATCAAAACCTGCACGGCAGGAGAGCCAATGTTCTGGGGTTGGAAAGCTCACATTAATTTGTACCTTTTTTTTATGTGTAAACAAACATCATGCTATTGCAGCAGGTAATGTATAGTCTCGGGTGTATAACTTCCGGATGGTTCTATCTCATCCGCTGCATTGCATCACTGGTGCATATTCTCCTGCTATTTCTGATATACGGCCTGTATTTTGTCGTCATTCATTCACGGACTGTACGATTCTGGGACGGCGTTTGCTGGACGGTTGGATTACATCGAATTGAGTTTCCCATTCAAAATACTACAACCTTCGTTCGTTAGTGACGGCTTTTCACGTTGCGCCATTTCGATCGTTAGTGCCAATCAACCTTAGCTGCTTTACCGATGAGTGTCTCACCGATATTGTCTTTCACTTCAACAGATCATATGAGCAGGTGTCTCTATTGATACTTTATTGAGTTCGAGTTGTTTCTTCCTCTTTCGCTTGCCCTATGATATATACACACTGACAACTTTCACAGACTATACAGCCGCGTCCTATCACTCGCAATATACGCTGCATCATGAAATCACTCTGTCTAATTGCAAACGTCCCGTGCGTATTCTTAACCTCTCCGCATTCCTCCCTGTTTGCAACAGACCAAACACAACTATTATCACAAGGCACCCACAATGCATTACAACCACAAAGACATCTCACAACATTTCACGATGCCTTCATTCCTACACAGGATGGAGACTCGCCGGCTCCATAACAGCGACATGAAGAGACTTGTCCGTATTTTTCGGCATGTCCCTATTCCCAATGAGTTGCGTGATGAGCGCAAGGAAGCGCTATATCGTAAACATACCAAGGAAGCTATACAACGTCTTCCTAGCCGGCTACGCGCTTCGCGGCTCTCTTTCGGCTCAACGAACCTGTGTACGACACACAAGGGCCTAAACCAAAATCTTGTCAATGACATCTTCAAATGGATCCGTCACGAATACGATGGCGCCATCGGCAAGTTTCTTTATCCACTTGTAATGACTCACGGCCTTCTAACGACGGATCAGAAGTTGAAAGTCCGTCAACTAGAACCTGTGCTACGGATGTGGCAACCCAACTTTAGTTCGGGTGCTTCCGCTCCCCCTGGTCATGAGCCGATTCAGTGCGGATTGAAGTGGCACTATCAGGCAGACCAATGCCCGGCTTGTATGATGGCGCGGATGGGATCAAATTCTGATGTTCTTTTTGCTCTGTTCGCCGGTATGGTCGGTCGCTTCAACAGCAAGGCGTTCACGACAATGGATGCGATCCGTAGCGTTGCTGGCTGGGACAGCACTAAGAGCAAACGTCTTCGATTTGTGCGTTACTGGATCAGGAAGGCGAGTGGGGAAAGCAATATGTTGAAAGCATGCGATCTGGGCATGGATCTCAAACATCTCCGGGCTCAGTGGAAGCATGAGCAACACCGCCACCTTCGTGCACATAGCCGCACGAGAACGCAGAAAACTCCCGTCGGTTCGATGCCCTGTCAAAGTTTAGGTTCATCTACCGTCCCCGCTCACCAGCGCACGTTTAGCCGTTCTGCCTCGACCAGAACTGTAAGACGGCGGCGAGAACAAGAACTAACAGCTCCGAGCCTGTTCGACCCCAAATTGGGTCCTAATCCCCGGCCTCCAGACACTAAACTCAAGTCACAGGCCAATGATCTTGGTTTTGAGATGCCCGGTATGCGTAAGCGGGTATACACTATTCCTCACAACCAAGAA